GGGTCGTCCAAGAGGCCTCCTCCCTTTTGCCCATACCATGTACAGTAGTGGGTTCTGACTTCGCCAGGGGTGACCAGCCCACTGTAACTTCCTACTCTGGATTATATTTAATATGTTTGAATGATAAAAGAGCTTCTCTAATTATTTGTTTTTTCTAATTCTTCTTTCGTCAGTTTCCTCGTCGTTTACTGGACCAAAGATCTTTCTTAGGATTTTCCTCTCCAGAATAATCAATTTATTTTCTTCCATTTTTCATTAAGTCCATATTTCTGCTCCTTATGTAATTATTGGGCGTAATGGTGTAATATACAAGTGTATGTTTATTTCTCTCGGCAGGGACCGTGACTCTAGTGTCTTTGTCAGTCCGTAAAGACATTTGTTTCCCGACAGGATTCTTGTTGCTACTTCCTTTTCAGTTTCATTTTTTTTGGTCAATACCTAATTATTTAAATTGTTTGATTCGATTGAATTCATGGTTACCCACTCTAAAGGAAGGATATATTCTCATATTATCTTTTCTTACCACCACCATGTCTTCGGTTTGCCTTCGTTTATTTGTAAGCCAACCATTTTCGCTGTCTCCTCCAAACGGCCGAATAGTGTTCTGAGGCCATCGTGTTATTTATTCATGAGGACCAAATCGTCTGCATATGCTAATAATGCCATGGAAAATCTTGTAGTGACACCCCCTCTTGGTGTCCGATGTTGGCCTCCCTTATAACTTTTTCCAATACTAGATTTAATAGAATAGGTGACAATGAGTCCCCTGTCTTAGACTTGATTTCACTATTATTGTGTCGCTTTCAGCTTCTCCTACTCTTATTTTAATGAATGTTTCCATAATGCTTGTTTCGCCTGACTTTACTAATTTTTGTGGGAAGTTATTCAATAACATTAAATATAAAGAATATTTATTAAGCTTTTGCCATGGATACTGTCGTATGCCTCCTTAANACTGTTTCACTAATTTTTGTGGGAAGTTATTCAATAACATTAAATATAAAGAATATTTATTAAGCTTTTGCCATGGATACTGTCGTATGCCTCCTTAAAGTCGATAAAGAGTACATGCATTTTCTTGTCGAACTCCCATGTCTTTTGGAATAGATGTCGGAAAATAAATATTTGGCCTACCGTAGATCTTCCTAGTCTAAAAAAATATTTTTAAAAACTTAAAAAATATTAAAACTTTTTTAATGAAGTGTATTTATTTTATTTTATAGAAAGTATCAAAGGTATTCGATTTTATATTAGTGTTTTTCATTTATGTTCTATATTACATATATAATTTATAAAAAATATCAAATTTTTTTTTAACTATGATAATTAAAAGTTATATCTTATCAATTAATTTATGCTATTAGTTATAATTTAATTAATTTAAAATATAAAGAAATTATTTAAACAATTTAAATAAAACATTACGCAAAAATATATTTTTACATTTATTTTTAACGATATAAAAATTTTTTTTAATGTGATTAACATTAATTTTTAATCTAATCGCGGCTATTAAAATATTTTTAAAACCTTTTTGAAACAAATCTTTTTTTTTATATGTTTTTTAAATATTAAAGAAATATTTTTTTGCTACTTGGGTCGTGTATTAAATATCCCAACCAAACAAAATAATTTTTTTTTACATTGCATTGACCTAAACAATAGTTTAATCGAACATTCTGATTCTACTTGATACATCTAATAATATTTTATTAATACATAATACACATTTTTAATCAATTCAAATAAAATGTAAAATAAACATAAAATAAAAGTGTATTTTTATAAGAGAAAAAAACTTCTGTTACACTAAAACAAGGCTTAATTCAAAAAAAAGTTTAAGAACATAATGAATAAAGTGAAATATGTATATAAAAAATGAATTAAATGTCCTCCTTTGTAAATACTTTAATATAGCTAAAAATCATATTTTTCATCTACTAAAAATATATTCCCTAAAGATTATGAGTTTAAAATTAAATAGATATGATTTAAAAAAAAAAATATCTTTAAGAACGTCATTATATTTGTCTTTAAATAAGATAACCTTAAATCAGTGTCATTCAAATTTTAAATTAAAATAATGAAATTTTTAAGCTAATTTTTTTAAAATTATAAAATGATTATGAAAACAAATAAAATATCCTATAATTTGTATTCAATAATCAACAACTAATACATTTACAATTAGCCAAAACAAATATTAATTTTTTTTTTTTTTAATAACTTTTAAAGGAAGTATGATTTAAAGTTTTTTCATGATTATATCACAAAAATTAAAACTTCTGAAAAAATAATTTTAAATAATACCAAGAAATTTATGAAATATAAAAACAAAATATTCCAGAAATGAAATTTTTACTATCAGCTCCGTTATCTAAATATATATTTAATTATCAATAAATAATTAAAAAAAAAAAATTCTATTCACAAAGTTGTATTATAAATAATCAGGGCATCGATACTTTTTTTACAGCGAAAAATTTAATGACTGTAATTGACTGTTACAAATTTAAAAAAGTGGTTAAAGCTTTTTTTGGTTTAGTATGTAAATAAAGTATTACATAAAAATCAATATTCACATTTACCAAAAATTTAATTGCAATTTTATTTTTATCAATAAAATTGATAATAGAATAACAATAAACATAATACTATGGGATATTTACAACATTTTTAATTTTAAGGTTTGCTCTCAGAAAACAATTGATGTAATACGTTAATATTGATAATACAATAACGTTTGCTATAAATAGCGAATTTAGTGAAGTATAAAAAAATTCATGAAATCAATGTTAGCATGTAAATTTTTATATGAAAATAATTACAGGCTAGGGTTCAAGTACAAGGCGCGCATCCAGCATAAATATATTTTTAATTTGAGGGAGGGATTACACTAATTTTGCTATAGGGAACCATTTTTAGAAAATAGTTCTAATTTTTGGGAGGTCCATTGCTTCTAAAACTCTCCTTGTAACCATGTCAAGTATATAGTATGAACATGACTGATTGATAACAGCTTTTGGACCGATATTTCGGAAGTTAGTAATAATTTAAATTAATGTCTCGAGTTGAAAAGTAAGTACCACTATTTTTATAACTAGACATTTATCTTCCTCTCACCAACATATAAATAGATCAATAACTACCGAAATAATGTTAGAAAAGGTGTTATGAACCAGCTTTTTACTTAATTAACTATTAAATAAGCTAGTTGATTATGTGTGTAGTCATTTGAGATATTAAAGTTGACTCCCTTACAAGGTGGTTTAAGAAATGAATATAAAATTTGTTTTATGATTGATACATTAAGAAGAACGTTGAACTAAAAGAAACCAATAGAATAATTCTTAAATTTTGATTGTGTGGTTAATTAAGAGGTTCATGATAAGAGTAATTCGTTCTGTATAAGTATATAAATATATATATGAAAAAATTACTAAAATAACATTCTATATAATGCAAACTTATGTTAAAAATATAACGCTATGTAACAGTAAGACGTGGCCATCGATACAGGAGAAAAATAAATAAAANTATATATGAAAAAATCTACTAAAATAACATAATATATAATGCAAACTTATGTTAAAAATATAACGCTATGTAACAGTAAGACGTGGCCATCGATACAGGAGAAAAATAAATAAAATCCTCGTCGGAGCATCCGTAAGTTGTCTCAAGATTTGGTTAAATTAATTAAGTTTGTAAATAAAGAAAAGGGAAAAATAAAATTTTAGTACCAGGAATTCATAAGATTCATCAATAAATAGGTGAAATTATTCGTATCAATGGCACCGAAGTGCTTTAGTATCATGAAAATAGAAATTTAAATAAATCTGAACTATTCCTGTCTTGACACACATTATCCCGTGTCTCGTCGATCGTCAACAACCCACTACAACACTAACGTCCCCGAATTTATATAGTAATGCAGTACCATTTTTCATTAGATTTCTATAAACATAGCGTAAGTGAACGGCGGTATAACTAACTAAAATTCTATTGAGTTAGTATATTGGTGGACATTTGAAAATCTCTAGCGCAATGCTGGGCCCTTTCTCAAGACATTAATTAAAATAAAGTAACGACTTACACTATTTAAGACGCGGTTTGTCCGTGTAAACAACCATCATAGCGTAAAGAGTTGTCCTACAAACGGAAAATCACTACGCCTTAATTGAATTTATATGTTTAAAATTTTTACGTTGGTGAATTTGTATACTGAGACTAGATGACGACGCCAAGATGTTAGTTGCGAGTAACATCATATGGTGTTATCTATAGGTGTAATGTAGCCACGCGTCGACCAGACTCATGCTGAGCCGCCTAACCACAATCGCGCACAGACGCCAATTTGTATAAATAACACTATGAAAAAACGATCACTAAGAGCCGCTGGACACCTTTTGGAATCACCTAAACGTATGACTGCTTATATTAGTCTTAATGAATTTATGTTGGTATATTTTAATATTTGTTAAGAATAACGTGTAAAAATATTAATTATTTACGGGATACCTAATGAATTCCTGGTTTGAAATTTTAATTAGCGCGAAAGAATCTTTCTTCTTCTTCTTTTATCTCGCCTCTATCGCAACTAATTGGGGTCGGCCACTCTTAGCGTAGAAGAGTATTTTAGAATTTTATCAAAATGTGTCATTCACACACAATGTTTAATTCACAAATTTTTTTTAGGAGGTGCTCAACATTGATGCAACCTGGTAAAAAGTATTTGCTATATTTTCATAAAATTACAATGCTCCCGATGCTCTCCAAGTAGAAATTTGATTAATGGTCATGTAAATAAAATGATTTTTTTTTTTGAGATATACATTATATTTTTATAATTTTTATGAGCATATTTGGACAAACTTTATTTATTTAATTAGATAAATAAAATTTGATGGAATACACATATATTTGAGAAGTATTAAAACATACATGTATGGTAAAAACACAATTTTAGTATTCAACAAAAATTTAAAAAAAGGCACGAATAATAGAAAGAATGAAAAAAAATTGTTTAATAGTATTGTTAAGATTACAAAAAAATGAAAAACAATTCTGAACAATACATAAGGAATTGAATAAATACTAATTTTTCTGTATAATATAATATACATGTAATTATATAACATATCATAATTAATAATTTAAGTCGTAATTCCAGTCTTAATTCATTAATATTAATTTCTTCCAAAATAAAAATATAATTTTTAATATTTCTAATCCTATATTTCACACTTTATCACGAATGACTCTTAAATGATTAATTGATCACAGATATGTTTTTATTTACTTCGATTGTGTTGGTTTTTACACTGACGCCAAAATTGTTGTAATCTTCCATCGGCGTTACCACAAAAATTTCTGAAGTCTTCTAAAAGACGATTTTGGAATTGTTCATCGCCCGTCGCTGGATTAGACCATTTCCACCGACGACTTACCATATGATTCCACGCCCACAAAAATCCAACCTTTACATCAACAATTTTAAATTTTGAATATAAAATGAGAATTGATCACTTATGGATATTATTATTATTATTTAAAATTAAAAATTAATTTTAAATATTAAAACTAAAAAATACAAAAAATATTTGACTGAAAAAGTACTGAAAAGTCGCGTATTAAAGGTGTCAGTCATCCCGTCACTGGTATTTTGTCACGCTAACATAGATGTCACTACTTGTAGCTGAGCAAGTAAAATAAATGGTTAACAGACAAACAATTATTATATTTTTATAACAAATACAATCAGTACGGTGACTAAGACACAGTATCAAATGTACGATTTATACTACTACGAGTTTATGATATTTGATCCATAGATAAAATTAATTAGTAACCACTTCTCTTTTTACTTGTCTAATTAATGATAATATTGGTTCCATCAGATCTAGACATAAATGAATAGACCATATAAACCTTTTACATGTATTACATTGGAGTATGGTTGTCACTAATTGTCGCTTAAGTAAAATATATGGTGATCCTAGTAAAATGTGGTAAAAATTATAGTATAAAAACAAAAGTAATGAATTAGGCGAGACGGCTGCCGGTCGCTTTAGTTGCTTTTGGATGATGACTTGATGAAATCGCCATACAGGTGAGTAGAATAAATGGTGACATTATATCACTATCTCCCTAATCTATCACGTGTATGTATTTCGAAAAAAACGTTACCATTATAAACGCTTAACAGATACTGACAGTCCGACTAAAAAAAACCTTTATATACTCCTAGTGATCTTATCACCTAATGGCATTATCACTAAGTAATATATTATTTTACCAGTTTACGCAAGTTTTAAATTAATTTTTCATTATTTTCAATAGCCCAAGATTCTAATCAATTAGGTAGTTTTTATTTTTAAACATTTCTATTAACCTTTTAATATTAAGTTCATTGTAGTTATTCAAGTTTTTAATTAGTCTTATGATTTTAATGGAGTAATTATGTGTCAATAAATGTTTATCAACAGGAGATTTACCAACTTCTTGATTTTTAATGTTTCTTAAATGATTTAAATAGCCCCTATGTTTTTTTCCTTTACGTTAAGGTACATTTGAGCATTGTGATGTAACTTTTAAATGTATAATATTTTAATTATAATATATAACGGGTTCATACTACGCTGGTAAAGTGTTTGTTTTAGCATACATCAAGCATACATTCATACTGTATTTTATAAATGCTCTATTTTCCCCTTCTTCTCCTTTATCTTAGGGTTATCTAACGAATCTTTTATATTATCATTCCTAGATGTTATTAAAGTAAAACCAAAACTCTTGAAAATTCTAGCAAATTCTTCGAATTTTATTGATAATAAAATATGGACGACCTAATTACTTTATATCCCCTCATGCTAATGACTGTGATAACTGCTTTCCTATCTTTATAACACTTTTGAATTACACATTATTAAAAAAAAAAATGAATACGATCGTCGTAACTGGACGTTAAGTACAAAATTTAATGTAAGTAATATATAATTAAAGCAAAACTATCAAACCCAACTATAGGCTATGAAGATAAACCCTTTTCTTGAGTGAGATCCATTATCAGAGTTCGAGGAGTAACGAAAATATTAGTTTAGGGACTTAATAGGTTCTTTGATAGTTATTGTTTACTTAATATATACAATGACAATATTATTTTACAGACAACCTTTCAAGCTAGTAGAAAACGTGTAGTATACAGATACCAACAATTGATTGTTACACTGGGGTTAATAAGTTAGCCCGTACTTTCTACTACTAGAGGGAACATCAAATCAAAGTTCGCTTTTGAATTAATCATAAAGAGAAAAAACAAAATAGATTTAGTATTCATATAATTGTTGTAAATTAAAAATAATACAATTACTGTATTATAATTATTATATATTTTAAATTTGACCAATAATTGTAATAATTTAGGGCTAGGATTTTGTTGTAATTCGTTATAAATATAAAGTAAATTAATAAATAATAAATAACACGTCTAGGGAGACTAAAAAGGATAAGTGCCCGTTCAAACATTCTAAGTACACCATTGAGTTCATCTATAATCTTTCGTTCAAAATTCTAACTCCTAATTTTTACAAGTGTACTTAACTGAAGACAAGTTAATTTATTTCTAACTATTGGTTGTTATAAATAGTGGTTCAAAACATTAACGTTGAAACAAAATTGTTTATTAAAAGAAATAAAACTGCATATAAAATTACAACACCTACCCTATTTTCTCGTTTTTGATTATTTTTTTTGGTGTCGTTGTTGGTTCCAGATCTATGATAAAGATGCCTTGTCACAACGTACTCCATATGAGGACTAAATTGTTGTTGTTGTAAATAGTGTTGTTCTAATTGTTGCTGATTGAGAAGTTGTTGATCACCATTACTACCTATCTCTAATAAATCTTCATTTGAATTCCCAACTCTATCTGATGAACATGTGTAAACATCATTGTCGTCTTTATCAACAGAACCACCAACATTCACAGTATTTGTTCCAATAATTTCTTCGTCATTAACTAAGTCTGACAGTATAAGAACAAACATGTTGCCTAAAAATAGAATATTTTTTACCATTAACTTAAATGTTATAGCTACACTTAGTAATCTTCTTAGTTTTCTATTTACATATAGAGAAAAACAGTAATACTATAAACAATGAGTCAATTTTAAAAATTAAGCATTAACTTACCTGTAGTATGTATGTATTGATTGTGGTAAGATTCAGTGTTAGGAGGCGAATTACAAATTATAAACCCAAAACGATACAATATGACTTCTTGAAATAATAATAACCTTCTTAACCATGTGTCTTCTGGATATTCTTTTAAAAAATGGAATTTAAATCAAATAAATTATTAAACCAAATTTTGGTAAATGTCTTATTGTGATAGTTTTGACATAAATCGGAGAATAAGAGTTTAAATTTCGCCAATTTATTATTGAGAATAACAGCTTTATGATCTTAAATTGTATCCAATTTACAATAAATGACCTTATAGAACAATATGTAATTATTTTAACACTCTCGTATTTAGATCAACATAATTATGGGGTATAATAGAAAAGAGTAAAATAAAACGTTATTTACTACATTTAAAGCAGTAAATTTACCATAAAAAAAAAAAGTATACTAAAGAATGATGAATACACAGCTTTGAAAGATAAAAATTATTACAGACAGGGCCGGATCTAACGGAGGGTTTTAAGGGCACTTGCCCGGGCAGCAGATGTTTGGGGGCAACCAGATGCCGAATACTATAAAAAAATTTTAAACTTTTTAACCCTCGGCTTATGAAAAAATCAACTTTAAAAAATAAATATTGTTTTGTATTTATATAATTTTGGCTGCAAAATTAATACCGATATACGTCATATGATAACATTATGACATTGGGGCATACAGCACACATTGACCCCCTTACAAGGCATAAGGGATGAACTTAAAAAGTATTACATATTTAAGAATTCAAGAATAATGTGTAACTAAAGATAACAAAAAAAAAAATGTTTAAATATATTTATTCTGTAAGTAATTGAGTGGGTTATGATAAAAAAATCACTCTGTATATGTTCATTTGTGATTTAAATATTGTCTACTCTCGTTACTTATTGGATATACCATTAGCCGTCATCTCCTAGGTGATCCACTCCCGCATCTATAATAACGATTTAAACAGGTTTAAGGTAAAACGGTATTCTAGTGCGGTGCACAACTAGCTGTCCTACGGTCTAGCTGCCTCGTACAAAACAACAATGAATATTTTCAAAATCAATTTTAATTTTATTTCATCATAATTCTGATTTTTAATATTGATTTAAATTTTTTTTTTTTGGTTTCGAATTTATAATCAAATATTGACTATAGGGAATTCGAATTTCAAACTATGAAAAGAGTTCAGGCAAGTGGCGCTGCTAACCGAAAATTAAAAAAGCAAAAAGAAGAAAAAATTGAAAATGAAATTAAAAAAACAAAATGCATACCTAGTTTTTTAAGTCAGACTTATTACAAAGCGAAAATAAAGCTTCTGATACTTCTGAGACAATTATTAATCCGACATTCATGAATGATACTAGTATTGAAAAATCAACAAACATTAATGATACTAGTGCTGAAAAAATAGAATCTTTGAATGTCGAAATATTTACAACAGATTCTCAAATTTGTGAAAATGTTTCTGTCATGCTTAATGAAGAAAATTCAAATTATGTGGACAGTGTTTCGCATCTTGTTAAATTTAATCAAATACCCTATTCTCTTCAAATTCAAGATACTTCTGAAACAGAGACAACTCAAAATTCTCCAATTGAAATGATGACTGATATTGGATTATGGCCTGAAAATATGTCAACATATGTAGATTATTGGATTAACAAAGGTATTATACATTTACAAAATTGCAATGAAGAGCTAATTAAAAAAAAATCTTTGGTGCAAAAAAATAGTACTGGTAAATGGACTCGTAAGTGTAACACTGGAATGTTTAAGCGAAAATGTAAAAATGGTGACTTAATTAAACGATCATGGTTATGCTTTTCTCCTTCCAAAGCCACCTTTTCTGTTCAATATGTAAATTAATGTCATCAACTACATTGCGTACACAGTTTAACACAGAAGGATTTTTCAACTGGAAAAATTCTAACGAACAACTTCTCGAGCATGAGACTTCAAAGAATCATCTCAATACATTTATAGCATTTAAAGATCGTTCAGTTATTCTAGGTCGTATTAATGCTGAACTTCAAAAACAAATGGGTGAAGAAAAATTTTATTGGAAAAAGGTTTTGACGAGACTTGTAAGTGTTATCAAGTTTTTATGCAAGCGTGGGTTGGGTTTACGAGGAGATAATGAGATTATTGGATCTCAAAGTAATGGGAACTATCTTGGTTTGCTAGAACTTATTGCCGAATATGACGAGTTTTTAAAAAAACATATTCAAGAAACCGGTAATTGTGGAAGTGGCAATACTAATTATTTATCCTCAACTATTTGTGAAGAACTAAATGTATGCGATATCAAGTATTTAACACCATAATTTCGCGCATAAAAAAATCAAAGTACTATTCCATATCTATAGATTCATCGCTTGACTAAGGTCATGTTTATCAACTAACCATAATTTTTCGATTTATGGAAGGCCCTAATCCTGTTGAAAGATTTTTAAAGTTTTTGCCAAATCAAGGACATAAGGCTCAAGAAATGTTTGATGGTATAATGAAATTTTTTGAAGAATGTAATTTAGACATAAAAAATTGTCGAGGTCAATCTTATGACAATGCGTCAGCTATGAGTAGGAAATATAATGTTCTTCAAAGCAAAATAATTGCTGAAAACAGTTTAGCTACGTGGGTTCCTTGTGCTGCCACCCATTCTTTAAACTTAGTAGGTAATANATTCCTTGTGCTGCCCATTCTTTAAACTTAGTAGGTAATAATAGTAACTAATTGTAATGGTGAACGCTCTTTTTCAAGGTTGAAGATCATTCAAAATAGATTAAGGACTTCAATGCATGAAGGGAGATTAAATTTTTTATCTATTATGAGCATTGAAAATGATGTACTAATTTTTTTAACATTTGATGAAGTTATAGAAGACTGCAGGAAAAAAATCAAGAAAAGTACCAAATTTATAAAAATATATTTTTATTTAACATTTTTGATTTAAATAATTTTGATTGTACTATTTACTACCTACTGCCAATAAAAATTTTAAAGTATTAAATTTAATTAAACTTTTATTATAATTTATAATTAATGTAGCTGTTATGGAGGTTGAATTTAAAATTTTTAATAAATTAAATTGTAAGATTATTATATTTATTTTTACTCTTCAAATTATGAAGGTTTAATAAATTTATTGTAATATTGCTATCTTTAAATGAATTTTGAAATTTGTGTTACATGAACAGCAGTGTTTCAAACTTGAAATAAACACGTTTTAGGTAGATAGTTATTAAGTGCAAGTTTGTGAATTTTAAAACTTTTATCCTTAACTAATTCGATAATGAGTATTTTTTTATTATTTTACTGTTAGGGGCCTCAAAAAAAAATTTGCCCAGGCATCCAAAAGTTTAAATCCGGCCCTGATTACAGAAGTATTATATCTCTAGAGAAAATATTTATATGCAAATACAACTTGTAGAGGACAACCGTAGGTGCAATTATAAATTATTTCTAGAAAAAATTTGAAATATTCATATCAAGCAAATCCGTAGTGGATTCTAATATCAAACTCCCCAGAACTTATTCCAAGATATCACATTTATATTACAATAAAATTCACTTATCATATCTACCCTTTTTTGTTATACTTCTTTTCTTAATAATATATTAATATTTAAACATTAATCCATCATAATCAAAAAATAGGGGTGCAGTGTGGTACAAAGGAGCACTCAGTTGCCGCTTAACACTAATGTTCAGCTGCACTGTTTGCTGTTCGTTCCCAAATAGATGATATGAGAACTTTAACAATGACACACATCTTATCCTAAAGTAATTATTAACTTCTTAAGTTTTTTTTTGAAAGTAAAGTGCCAATAAATGGCAATAATAAAACTTTGAAAAATTAAAAAATATTATTTTATTTTTTCTTATTAGAAATTTTTTACTAAAAAAATAAAAAGTAATGCAAAATATTTTTTGATGAATAAAAAGTTATTGATGATTTCAGTACTCAGTTGGATATCCTGTATATCTATAAACTTTTTTTTTTTTATGTTAGCTGAGTACAACTAAATTTCATTATTTATTTTTGTAATTTAAAAAATTATCTTGTCTATATTTTTTCAATCTAATAATATTAATCAAAGTATAATATTTAATTATTTGACACATAGTGCATAATTGATTTCCAGTTTCCAGTTTTCAATTAACAATTTTCTAAACAGCTTACCATAAAATAAATAATTCTTTCCATCAGTTGTCATTAAACATTCTAAATTAAGAGGAACAAAAACTGGACCTCTAAGAGGATCTGATTTTAATGTGTACGGTAATGCAAAAGGATCAGCTGGTAATGGTATCAATTGAAATCCACCAGATTGAGCTTTTCTTGCCCAGTTATATATCTAAAATGATTAGATAAAAATATATTATCAAAGAAAATCAAATTAGATTTAAACTATTTTATTATTACCAAATCAGCTACAATGGATCCAGAAGCTGCAACCCATTGAGCAATAATTTCATAAGCCCGATCACATCTATAAATTGTTTGATAACGAGCATGACCCCATTCTACCCGATCACTTTTACTATTTACATCCATCTCTAAATGAGCTTCTTTATACCATGGAACTAATTAAAATAAAATACATAAATCACTGTAAATCAAATTTATTAGAATATCACATGTTAATTATGCATCTAATACGCTAAAATGATTGAAAGATTTTTTGTATGGATAAAATTTATTACTCCCTAAAGTACATATATATTGAATAAATAACAAAATAAGGTTTAAAATTGTTGAGCATCTTTGGTTTACAATATTTTTAAAACCACGGAAAAGTTATTCAACTATTTAAATATAAAAGAATATAAGTAATCAAAAAGTGAAAATGGTTAATAGTTTTAAAAATTAGTAAAAAAAAACATTTGGTTATCTTAAATACCAAAAATAAAAACTCTTATGACTTTAAAATGAAAAAGTTACAGAAAAAAATTAGTTTAATTATGGATATTTATATGGTGATATTGATCATTGCTAAACTAAATACAAAAAATAATTTTTATTTTAACCAAAAATAAATAGAGTGGATTATTTTATCCTTATAAGTGTTAATATATTATAATTTTAATAAATGAGCGTGATTCCTGTGACCGTGGGTTCTTTTATAACTCCCACTCTTTTTTTGAATACCGAATTAGTATTACTGTTGGTAAATTTCTAGGATTCATAAAACGCAATATCAGCCTTTTCACGTTTGCCACCTGCCTACACACTCTTTATTTCTCTTTTCCTGGTTACCTCTCATGGTATCACCTTCTTTCAAAATTATTCTCAACATAGATTGCTTCTTCTTCTTAAAAATTCCTTGAACCTTAAATTAATTTTTGGCAACATTTTATTTTTTTTTGTTTTTAAATTTTTAGTTTGACATGTTCGCATTGTACAAATTAGATATTAATTATTTAACTTACTTCTAGTTATCTCATACATTTTTATAGATTCATTATATTTATTCTGTTATCACTATTGTTAAATTTAAATATATTATTATGTATTCTACTTATAATTTTCTTTTGAATTACCAATTGGCATCAAATAAATGAAATGACTAATTTAAAACTTATTTTTATCATAATGCTTTAATTTCATTAAGACATTAAAAAAATACTGATTAAATTTTACCTTTCCACCTACTATCATGATTGATATTATTCTCTTCTATTGGCATCAAGTTATCAACAAGGAAAGCTGTATTTTCTGGATATAAAATTGGTGGCTTAACCTCTACTTCTACCCATTCATTTTCAAAAGCTTGAAATTCATGTTGAGGAAATGGAGCTGTAATTTAGAGTTTAAGCCAATATTTTAAACATTATGATAAAATTAATATTATTATTTATTACACTCAAAATACACTTTAAAATATCGTCACATAAGGCACAACATCTCGCAACTCAGTTTTTACAATTTTTCAAAAAAATTAGTTTATTTATAATAATTATTTTATTATTATTATTTCATTGATGTTCTACTGATTTAACAGCAAAAAGGAAAATGTTAATTAAAAATAAAAAATTTGCTTATCTACCAGTCATTTTGACTAAAAAGTGATATGTAAAGTATTGTGCCTTAAGCAACGTTAAAAAAAATCTAATACTATTTCTATTATTTCAAATTTTTATGCTTGTTAATTAAATTTAACCATTTTTATTAGCTATAAATAAAATAATTTAATAATGATAAATAATCCATACTAAAATTTTTATCATTTAAATATTTTATGAGTCTACATAAAATATGTAAAATTCAGTAGTCTTTTCTCATAATTATATAATAAAGTATTTACTAGATATCTGAAGAAAAATAATAAAAAATTTAGTAAAAATTATACCGACTTACATTTTTCAGTAGGTGATTCAGACAAAGGAATATAATACATGTAAAATCCATCAATAAATGGGTGTTCATAGTTTCCTGATGCATGACAAATTAACTGCTCATTTAAAATTTCCTAAACAATTCATTAAAATAAAATGTCTGCTACAACTTTATTTATAACAAGTCACATTCCTTTCAAATTCAATTATTTGAATCAAATAGTAAAAATTTGCAGATAAATTTACCTGAAATCTATCAACTGCTTCTTGTCGGTTTACAAAATTTGAAACATTACTCATTAACCACGTGACTGCATCATAGCTAATAAACGTATGTCTAGGCAATCCTGCAGTTTGTTTATTAACAAACAATCCAATACCTACTTGCATCCATTCAATTAATTCAGTATTTGATATGCTCTCTTTTGAAATCAGCAATCCAGAGTTGTATGAATTAATAAATTTACTAAAATTACAATTTACTACATATTACAACAATTAAATAAAGGCTTTAGATTTTATCACCTTTCAACTTCTTCTGTTAAATCATCAGCAGAATTTGGATTGGTATCAGGAGTAACTGTTCCTCCTCTATCAAATACTTTAGATCCTGATCTAAAAAAAAAATATACAGTATAGCTTAAAATTTAGTATATATTAATACCAACCTGGGTCGTAATTTTTCTGTATTACGAACTGAACTAACTGTTCGATCTCTGAAAGGAGACATAGCAGCTTCATTTGAACTCTAATACATAAAAAAAATTACTCATTCTTGAAAAATAGCAATATATGGAAGTTTTTATTAAAAAAAAAACCTTTTTACGGACAATCAAATTTATTTAATGCATTTTAAATAACATTATTTTAATTTTTGAAAATACAAGGCTAAATTATAATATAGAATACAATTTATTACTAATTATTATTATTAATACTATATTTATAGCTATTTATTTATATTAAATATATTTACTTACAATTGTGCATTATTTTTTTTTTTTTTTAGAATTTGAATTATTAAATTATTTATAATTTTTATTAATTATTTAAATTAAAAAATGCAGTGCATTTTTTATATTCACACCAAGTAAATTAACTTGAAAAATTATAAATATATATGTATTAGTAATAAATATTTTAATATTAAAAATAAAGTGTAGGAATTTAAAGATTTATAGAAAGAATTGATGATGACTCCATCAGATAATTTTCGTTACATATAAATAATTATTTTTATTACATATCCAATCATATAAATAAGATATTGCTACTTCCATTCAATATATAATTATGTCTTTTATCATTGAGGATTGCCATAAATAAATTAAAATTAAAATAGTCAGAAAAAGCTATTACGTAATAAAAATTACAAACCTTAATACTAGGAGCAGCAGATCTTTTCAGACGATTCACCCATGTCTCAATAAATTTAATAAACTTATTAGTGAAATCATGTTGTTCTTCCATAGTTGGTGTTTTGTAAATATCACAATACACATTTTCATTTAGATGGTCCATAATTGTACTAGTAGCTTCAAGACGCCAAGGAAGAAGATACATGCGAAATCTCCAGTATTTAAGTTTCTATAAAATTATACACAATTTATTTAATGTACTGTATAAGTAAAGTTTTACTAAAAAAAAAAGTAATCATAAACATTTTACATCATGTAACGCATAGTCTGTATCTCCGCGAGTACATAAATAATGGTCCATGTAATTCCAATTATAATTTTCTAATTTTTCCGTAACAAATGATATCCATGATATTCCATAAGTCGAATGATCAGGAGCTTGAAAACGATATCTATATTGTATTTCAAATGAGGCATATGGAAATCTTGAAATTTATAAAAATATAAAAGAAACATAAAAAATTGATAAATTAAGTACGTACTACTCTTAAGCCTAATTTACTGCATATCAAAGGATGTGCTCCATAATTTAATTAATACTTAGAGCATAGATATCAATTTAAGCAAAACTTAGTATCTAAAAAAATTTAAGAATTTTTTTTTACTAAAAATAAAAGCTCTTAATTTATCTTTAATATCATGCAATAATTTATACATTGTACAAAAATATCTTTATGTAAAGATTGATAATTAAACATAATATTATTTATTCTTCTTCTTCTTCTTCCTCGTCTTAATCCCAATTACTTGAGGTCGGCCACCCTTATCCTAAACTTTCACTTGACACATCTCCCACATCATCTACGCTCACATCGGCTGTCCTCAAATCGCGCATTTAATAGCATCTCTCCATCTCTTTTTTGGTCTTCCTCTACCTCTTCTTCCTTCAACATTCATTTCCATAACTGTTCTTACAGCTTCCGGTTCTTCTCTTCTTATGAGAGAAGAATCAGATATAATCGAATTCTTTCCTCCTTGTAACCTTATTTCTACTACCTACATAAATGAAACATTTAATCAAAATTGTTAAGTAGATGTCATTTATACTGATTTTGCAAAAGTGTTTGATTAAGTAGATCACACACTGCTTATTAAAATTTGTTTGCATTAGTATTAGTTCTTTATTGCTTTCATGAATCCAATCAAATCTGACTAATAAAAAATTATGTGTAATAAACTCATGGTTACTATATTAGCATTTTCCCATAATTCTCTGGCGTTCCTCAAGGTATGATCTTATATCATCTACTGTTTGCACATTTTCTCAACTATACTAACTCTGTTCTCAAACACACCAAGATACTCATATTTGCTGGTGATATGAAATTATTTCTCAAAATTTCCATTGAAATAAATTGTCAGCTACTCTAAAATTACCTAAATAGATATGTTGTAAAGCCCTTAAACTTTTAAGACTTACTTATAGAATTTATAAAGAGTTACATTTATCAAAGTATCTTAAAGTATTATATCTACTATTGGAGTATGGTTGTGAGTTTTAGATACCATTTTTGCAATGTCCAGCTTGATGATTGATTGAATACAGAGAAAATTTTACTGACTGACTTACTTATCTCTCCTTAGCCACTGTTTTTAACTATAACTATTCTTTTGCTCAAAGTATACTTCAATTAAAAAATCTTTCATATTGTAGACAATCTTTTGATAAATCCTTCCCTATAAATCTCCTGAATAATATAGACTGTTCTAACTTATTCTTCTAAGTTAAAACTCAATTCACCCACTTATCTAAGTCCTTTATTTTTTACTTTGACTACTAACTACATTTTAAGTTAACCAATTAACTGTATTATGCATTTGATTAATACTGACTGGTTTTTTCCCTTTTGAAAAAACTTTAGTTTAAATCACAGTGTGTAATATATAAGATATCTTTTGTCATTTAATTTAAAATATTAAATTAGTATCATTGTACACAATTAATAATTATTTTGTAATTATACTTGTTGTAGTTGGTTTTAGCTCATAACTATATTAATTAATAAAAATAAATAATCAAGTTTTGTATAATTTTTTCTCACCTAGGTCTATATCGGGTGACACGAATTTCTGATCCACAAAGAGTTAAAATGTGAACAATTCTGCCTATACTAAGACGCATTTCAATGAAAGGTTCAGCCATAGGAAGAGTTGACCTCATAACAATACTATTAATTCTCTTTTTGGACTGATCTGTTGTTGAGTTTTCAGATTTATTCACAACTAACTGAAAGCCCTATAAAAATAAATTTTAATATAATAGTAATCTATATTTTAAATAAAACATAGAAATAAATGAATTTCATCTATAATAAGTAAAATATTTAGAAACAATACAATAATATAAATATAAAAGTAAACAAGACAAAATTATTTTTTATGTTTATGACTAAGTCTTGGATATCAATGCATATTACATATTTATTTTTTTAGGGTTATCTTAGACGATGCTTTCCAAACACGAAATTCGATTTATATAATGGAAAACAAAAATTGAAAAATTTATTTTGCATTTGTTCAATTAATAAAACTAAAATATTTATGTTTTTTTGGGGTTATTATAACACTTTACAACATATTTTTAGGTAAAAATTACTATTTTTTTTAATAAAATTGTACTTGGCATAACAACAAACAATTTCTGATATGTGTTATTTTTTTATGTTAAGTATAAAAATATTATAATATAATATTTATAGGCACAATCTGGTGGGTCTAAAAAGTTCATCTAAAATTATGAAATCGTATATATATAATATAATATAGATATTTATAGATAGAAATATTATAAAAAGAGGAAAGAAGTTAAATTAGACTTCCATAAAATTTTATTCTAATCATGATAATCATGATAATCAAAATATTGTGTTTAAAATATGGTATTTTTTAAATGTAAAGAATTTTTTGATCTACTAATAATTAGGATTCATCACTGATATATTTTTGGATATTGACATCGTACCTAATTTCAACAATATTATATTGTATGAATAAATAAATAAAAAAAAAAAAGAATTTTATTCAATAAATAAACTTAATATTAAAACGTTTTAACAATTTTTTTTATTTTCAAAAATACCATTAAGTTCCCATTGATGTAAAAAACAGACCAACCAAATCAGATGATATTAAAATCAAAAAAATATAGATAATAGCTATATCTCAAAATCAAATATTTTCAAGTTACTTTTTATTATGAAGAAATAAGTTTTTGTTATAAAACTTTATCATTATAAATTGATTATATCAAATGAAAGAAATTGTGATATTTTTTAATAATACTATAATAGTTTTAATGTTTTGGTTTTAAATAAAAAAAACTTTTAGTGTCGTTTTGAAGCATGATTGGAAATAGTACTATGAGGAGGATAGATCCTACCCTGAAAAAAAATCTTACATGATTAATCTATTTTTATTTAGAAAGATGATTTTCTAATATTTACCCCATAGGACAATACTTTAATTGTATCACTAGTATTATGTAATAGTTCGTAAATTTTAGAAAATTACAGGAAAATATAAATCATGATTTCTCAAAAAAAAAAAATTATAACTGCATGTTATTTTTCATCACTAATAATTTTTTAATTAAAATTTTCTATTTTTGAGTAAAATAACATATTTTGTTGCAAGTTAAAGTAATTTAAACAATAAAATAAATATTGTTGACTAGGTTCTGCCACGACAAATGAATATATGATTTTAAAATATACATTAAACAATGAGAGTGTTTAATTGTAATTATTGTAATGTTGTACTACTGGATTTTATAGTAATATATATGCATCGTGACAGAGAGATGCATAGAGTATAAAATAATTAAAACAACACTTTTCTTTAACCTAAAATAACAAATACATACATATTAAGTTTTAATTAATTCCATATTAAATATAGAATCTGACACTCGTAAATTTTATGAGTTAGAGGAATAACCTAGAACTGTGCTTATTTCAAAAATATATATATTTGTGATTATCAGATAATATTTCTCGAAATATATGAAATCTGTAATAGTGTTAAATAACATGTTATTCTTACTAAAACTTCATTTAAGGGATTAAATTATTTAAATATTTAAATTTCAAAAAGAAAAATGTGTTTAGAAATCTAAAAATTAATTAGCAAATCTTACAAAAAAATATTTATTACAATTTTAAATAATATATACATTAAATAGATCTGAAAATTTTTCATAATAAAATAAGATGCATTTGATTGTGATCTAATCTTTTAATTTAATAAAATTAATTTAAGGTTTACTATACTGCAAGACCAAAAGAATGCAGTTTGTATTATATTTATAAAATAATTTTTAATGTATTTACTTGAGCTAAACGCTGAGATACCATTTGGTAAAATACTTCTAAAGTAGATAAAGGCTGTCGGTAAACAGCTCTTTGTTGAGCAAAATCTGCATTTACATCTTCAGGTAGTAAATTATAATTGGAAAATACATAGTATGATTGAAGTGTGACATCGTCAGGAAAATAATCTGTTGTAATTGGGAGACAAGCTGGAAATACTAATGATTTCCAATCAACACCTAAAAGTTATCCTTAATTTCATTTTAAGATATTTTTATTAAACATGTTTAGTAATTAACTTGTTTATTTATTTTTTATTAATTTTCTTAGGAATATAACAAATAATACTAACCCGAAGAAAATTGACTTAACCAATCAAATTCACCTAATGATTTTTGACCGGCATTTTTTATATTTTGTTTTTCTTCAATTCTATTTTTTAGAAATTTTTCAATATTTATATTTACTATAAAAATATAATAAGCAATATAATTTAATTCATAGTAATAATTAGCAAAATACAATACCATCAAGATTTTTTTTTAAATTATTTAATTGATGAACAGTTTCATCTATATCCATTTCAGCATTTCCAACTAATTCAATATCATCTTGAACTTTTTGTATTTTTGGATATTCTACATTATAAAGTATTTAATTTACTTTTAATATTTTTAAAACAACATCAACAATAAATCATTTAAGATATAATTTATGTTTTACTTTCAGAAAATGTATGACTCCACCTTCTCCTATTTGAAGTCAATTTAAAAAGTGCTTGTGATTTATCAAATGGATTTATCAATCCTCTAACTCGATTAGGTTTAAAACTAGTTTTTGGAGGTTGTTCATCTTCCAGAACATCATATTTTTCCAACTTTTTTAAACCATCATCAATACTTAAACTTTTATTTCCTTTAGTAAAATATATTTATAAAAGTAAATGATAATAAAAGTGTATAGATTAAAATTCACATTATATTATGAATAAAACTATATAATTTAACTATTAATTTAAAGATGTACATACTATTCAAAGGGGATATACAAGAATCACATTGATTTTTTGGTGGTGGTGTAATGCTCCTTTGTTTTAAGGGAGAAAGACTGCGACTTGAAATAACTGAACGATCTGAACTTACTTCAAAACTACAAGTGCTAAATTTCTTTTTTCTCACAATAGTAGATGTATTTGATTGTTTATAAGAAAACGGAATAATATTGTTAATACTTCTGTAAATTAATTTTCAAATTTATTAGATAAGAATGTAAAAAAATATTACAATATATAAGTAGGCTAACAATATAATAGTATAAGTCAAAATAAAATATAATTGACAAAAATAAATTAAAATAAAATGTCAAGAAAATTATAAAAAGTACTTAAATAATAAAAGTACTTTGACTAAAAATAAATAAATGCAAAAATATCATTCAGTTGATAAATGATAGAAGGACTTACCTAAATCTTGGGAAATAAGATCTTTTACGTTTTTCAAAAACATCATTATCATAAGCTATATAATCATCAGCACAATTAGTAAAACCATTTTGCATGGAAGCTGGTAATGTAGTGGATAATACTACTCTCAACCCTTTTTTACGACGATTTAATTTTGTGTTAGAAAATTGACTAGGTACTTTAATACGAGGAACAAATGTAGACTTAGGTGGCATATCTTTACTTCCATAAAAGCTAGATAATATTTTTTGTTTTGTAAAATTATAAAGTTAATAAAATCTTTAATATGTACATTTATTAAAATATATTCTTTATCAAAAGCTCTTAAATGAGTAACTCCACAAGTATTTTAAGAATAGTAAATTTGTTTTCCTAGATTAGAAGCAAATCATATAATGTGTATCCTACCAAGTGTTGACATATTAATAACTTTTGATCCAACAAATATTTTGCATATTTTTTTTAAACAATACATATTATTTATTATTTTTCTTTAATGAGAAAAAATAATTTTTTCCAAATAGCCATTTATTTGCACTACACTTCAAAAAAATTTGATAAGTCGATAAGAACTTTAAGAAAATTATTTATTGAGAGTTTTTACTTTTATATACTATTAAAATTTCATTATAATCAGTGTATTTAAAGAGTTAGTTAAATGAAAAAAAAGTAATACATTTTTTTTTAAAGTGATGAAATTTGGGATTTTTGGTTACATGGCCTGGGTTTATACCTTTTAAATTATTCCTATACTTAAATTTTTCATTGTACTTTTATAAAAACATATAAAAAGAAAGTTTATTGCCTTTAGTACACCTTATTAAAATTTCATTAAGACTAGTATTTTTAAAAAAAAAGTTATAGTAATTTTAAAATGTAGAAAAAATATTTTTTACAATTCTAAAATTGAAGACGTTTTTTTAAATTTTTTTGCACTAATAGGTTCAACTAGAATTAAATTGGGTTATTTTGATGCATAGATTAATAAAAATGTTTCATTAAAAACTGGGAAACATTATGGACAGACATAAAAATTAATTCACACCATCACAAAACCAATACTGTCTCCTCAGCTTTGCATTAAAGTTAAAAAATGGTTTTAACATAGTTATAAACTCTAAAAATTAAAAACAAAATGCAAAAAATTTGCTGGATCGAATAAAATAACCCTGTATATCAATCCTATATTTCAATTTATCCAATAAATTTTGTATTTTAGAGTATACCATTTTAAAAACTGCAATACATTGAAATCTGCCAGAGTACACCATACCAATTTTTAACTTAAATTAACAAATAATAAAACTGTCAACAATTTGGTTATAAATAAGTATTTAAAATATTTGATTTAAATGTAAATTAATTAAAGTAAATACTACAATAAGTATAAATACCTTAAGTTTATCCAGTGAGGAATGCTGCAGTCATCTCCAAGTGATTCATCTCGATTTTGAAACTAATTAAGAAAAACATTACTATAACAATTATTTTACATAAAAATATTAAATATTCCAATATTTCTTACTGTGCTATTAAAAAAATATATTAACTTTCGACATAAAATTATTTTGAATAAATATCAAAATTCTTACAAGAAACAATGGAACAGCATATAATGGTTCTTGACCTACACAAATCAAATCTATACCAACTCCATTATCCATTACTCTTTGCTTAGTAACATTTGTCAATTGTCTATCAACATAAAATTCACCCATTCCCGGTGATATTACAATTGCTAGCTGTCCAGTACGATCTAAACTTCTTTCAATGTAATGTTTTTCAAATACTAAAAAATTTGAATATATTTCTTATATTATTTTTATTAATAATAAATGTTGTTCATATATCATTTGCAGATACTATGATACATTATAAAAGTATAAATATATGTATCTTTTTCTTTTACCTCGACTTTATCCTAACTACTTGGAATCAGCCACCCTTATCCTAAAGCTCCCAATTCCTCTCTCCTTATAACATGACCAAACCATCTAAGTCTATTTTCTCTCATTCACAAGTGACGCTACACCTATACTTCCTTTTATATGTATGTTCCTTTTCCTATCTTCTCTAGTCACTCCACTCAGCCATCTAAGCATTCTCATCTCTGCTCTACTTTCTTGTCATCCGCTCAACTCTTTGAACCATATATCAGTTGGTCTCACTACAGTCTTATAGAACTTACCTTTCAACCTCATTGGAATTCTCTTAACACATAACACACCAAACGCTTCTCTCCACTTCACCTACCCATAATTAATACTGCCAATATCACCATTCTTTTAAACAATTGATTTATAATACTTTTTAGTATTATAATTAGTATTTTAGATTTTTCAGTTCCCAAGTAAAATTGTAATGATTTTATCGATAACAGCACTATTGGTGTTAATTTAAAATCTCATTAAACACACAAATATTATTTTTAACACCATTAAAAACTAATTTAACTTTACCATTTAAAGCCATATTTAAAACTTCCAGGAAATTTCCTTGAGGAGCCTGAGATAAATAAGCTTCTGGTATTTGATCAGCAGTAACTCCAGATTCTTGAAGAACTTTAAAATGATAGTTAAGTACATCACTTTTGTAAGTGTAATAAATACGCCTAAGCAACATTAATGATGCAGCAGACCAATCTTCATATCTTTCATTCTGAATAACAACCCTATTTTTTAAAATAATAATGAAATTGTATACATAAAATAAACAAAAATTGCAAAAGCAAGAAAAACACTAACTTATATGTAAATACAATACTTACTGATAGAAATCTTCATAAAAACGATTCTTGTAATCTACTTGAAGACACTCCCTCATTGATTCAGGAAACTCTTCCAAATTTTTAGCTTTATAAAACACTCTAGAGAATAGAACAATTGTCACTTCATGATTACTTCCAAAACTCTAACTTACATAGAAAATAAATTAAAATATAAATGCAAATCATAATCATAATTTTTGAATTTGATCAATACTGACCTTCCATTTATCAAATAAATCAGTTAAAAATCCATCTACAGATTTTTCAAAGTATGTATCACCTAAAAAATTGAACTCCCACATTTCAGAACTCATCTGAAGGAATACATACACCATACTAGTTGCAGATCTAAAAATAACCTAGAAAATAGAACAAAAACATTAAAATTAGTAATAAAAATTGTATATTTTGTAACTCAAGTAAATCTTAACAAAATTTTTTAAATTTTTCTGTTCAATACCAAATTAAAAAAATAACTAACACAAAATAAAAGCATTTTTAATTACATAGAATAAATAACAAATAGTTAACTGAGAATAAAAATTATTTTAGCGTCAATTATTGACACTACATATTTTGATTAATCAACTTTATAATATAAAAATAAGTTAGACCTTTGTATCTTGATTAATGACACCACATGAAACCATTTTTCCTTTTACCCACATTTCATAAACTTGAACACGAATATATCCACCACAGAACTCCATTTTTTTATTGTTATACACACAAGTATCCATTAATGAATTTTTTAAGCGCCACATTTCTGATCTACCAAGATACTGATCCTTAAATGTAAACTCAACTGTATCAAGTAAAACAGATTCTGGCCGTACTATATTTACAGTAACATCACTATATGCTCTAAGTTGAAACAAACTAGCAATGCTTTGTTCAATACTAATGGTATCTATAAAAAATAAAAACATTTGTCCAAATAATAATTATTTTTAAGCAGAAAATTTAATCCCATGTCTATAAATTTTTGTTTGAAAAAATATATGTATACAAATTTATCACAAGTATTTCTAAAAATTTTATTTATTTTTTGTTTATATAACTTAAAAAAGGTATTAGTCAAAAAATATCAACTAGTAAGTTATCAATTTTTAATTGTATCTACCTTTGCTTTGGAGATCATCTTTGAAAGCCATAATTTGAAGTAAAAGTTTGTTATGTTCTGAATCTGAATGATACACTTCTACAATATCTCCTTTAATAGCATTTGGAAAATCTTTACGATTTACTATAAGTTCAGAGCCTATAAAATCATTTTATTTAAATATAATGTGTTAAATTATGAAAAAACAAATTATAATAAAAACATTGAATACTATGAGAAACTTACTACTAAAGGCTTTTTGATGAATAGTCAGTTTGTAAGTCTTCATATTGATACTTAAAAAAAAAAAAGATAAAAATCTAACAAATTCTCATTAAATATAACTATTAATTATTGTATAAAGATATTGGAACACAAATATATCATTATTTTAATTTTTTGTCTGGTATCAATTTACAAATTTAACTGAAAAAAATTTAATCACTTATAATTTACAATAAAAATAATATTATCAAATATGTTTAATAAAGATCTAAAGATTTAAGCATTTAAAAAATAAATTAATTTATTGTAGTTATTATAAAGTTTTGATAGTTAAATTTAATAACAAAAAGATTTAAATTTTTTAAAATATAGTGTCAGTTAAGTTTTGAAAGAAAATATCAAATAAAATCCTTATCAGATAAAACTGTTATCAAATTCGCAAATTTTCAATGAGATCACAATACTTACATTCATATTGCTAACATTTAGAAAAAAAATGTTACTCAAAACTGTTCAAAAAACATTCCAATTACTTTTAGGTTCAAATGTAATGCAACATCAACTCTTATTTCTATAATTATATCCTGATTAGTAGTTCTTTGATTTTAAAATATAATATATGAATAAATACTAATTATAGTTTTTAAATTTATTAAGAAATTGATATTCAATAATTTAATATTGTAATTTAAACGGAGAAATTATAAAAATAATAAATAAGTTATATTTTGCTTTACTTTTACGTGTATAACAATTTAAAGGGCTTGATACAATAATTTTCAATAAAAACTGTTTGTTACTATAAAAAAATGCACTGGACTACAAGGAACTTTCATCAGAAGCAAAAATATACTTTTCTAAATCAACTTTTTGCGTTGTTTTCAAATCTGCAATTAGACTTCTTCTATCACTTCTAATTTTTTATATTATTACTAATTATATATATAAAATAATAATTAAAAGAAAAAAAAATTTGTTTTCAAATTATTACTGATTTGATTTTTAATATGTTAAAAATAATCAGTCCAAATTTTCAATTTTAACCTATTTTTTTGGTTTTTTAAAGTTGATGAAAAATTTTTGATAAAGATTTATGAAAGTTTATAGTAAAATAAATTGAATATATTACCATAACTTTTAGCTCAATTACAAGTTTAAAATTGACATCTAGGCCAGTCAACAAAGGAAAAATTGCGGAAAAAATTTTGTTTTTTTAAAAGTTGAATTAAAATATGTATAATGACATACTAATAGTCCTCAAGATTGGAATTGAGCTTTTTTTTTAAATCCTCGCAAAAGTTCAAAAATATGAGCTTTCTTAATTTTCTCAAAAAAAAATATTTAACTTACAAAAAAAAGTTTCGCACAAAAGTTGTTTAAAAGACAATTATAAATAAAAATATAATCTTATATTTTTTCATTTAAACAAATATTTTTCGAGTTACATTACATTTAATATGAGTAATAAAATTTATATTCCATTTTTTTCATTTTACGGTTACTTTTTATCATGTTATACTTACATTAGACACAATGTTATAAATGCATATGTGTGTATGTGTGAGTTTATTTATTTATTGTATCATTAAAGTGTAGTGTATATTAATATACAACCGATAGAGTAGGAAATTGATTTGACGCTATATTGTTTAAACCCAACGAAACGCTAAATTGTACATTCCCAAACAACAATCATATTATGTCAATTGCCACCGGAATTTCTGGTAATCTTTTTCTTTTTCTTTGCCTTAATCCCAACTACTTGGGGTCGGCCACCCTTATCCTAAGCTTCCACTTGACACGATCTCCCACATCTTCTACGCTCACATCAGCTGTCCTCAAATCGCATTCAATAGCATCCCTCTCAATCTCTTTTGATCTTCCTCTAGCTCTTCTTCCTTCAAAATTCATTTCTATAACTGTTCTTACAGCTTCCAATTCTTCTCTCCTCATAACATGACTAAACAATCTAAGTCTATTTTCTGTCATCTTATCTACGATTGGTGTTACATCTAAACTCCCTCTATATGTTCGTTCCTTATCCTATTTTCTCTAGTCACTACANTCCTTATCCTATCTTCTCTAGTCACTCCACTCATCCAACTAAGCATTCTCATCTCTGCTACACTTATTCTCTGCTCTACTTTCTTATCAACCGCCCAACACTATTAACCATACATCATAGCTGGCCTCACAATTTCATACTGAATTTAAAAACTATAATTAGTATTTATTCATATATTATATTTTAAAATCAAAGAACTACTAATCAGGATATAATTAAAGAAATAAGAGTTGATGTTGCTTTTGGAATAATCCACCAATTTCTCTAAATGAAACATTATCTACAGATTTGCATCGAAGCGTTTCTTATGATAGTGATTTTAATCACTGTCAGATATCATCTATACTTGTCCCATCTATGCCTCGTCCACACTGTGCCTCGACCCCACTGTGCTACCGTTTTTTTTATATTGAAACCTTAAGTAATTTCCTTTTATTTGATATAATATTTTTGAAAATCTGACCCTTTAATTGTCCATAGAGGAAGATTCAAAACAGCAACTTTTGAACATCAACTTAACTTTATGAACTAAATTTTTGAAAATGTCTCGGGAATACTTCGTCCTTTAAACATTTATTAAATTAAAGCTTATGTTACGTACTACAAATTAAAAAAAAAATTTGTCCCGGCGACTTATCTTCTACGTTCAAACGGTTGCCGTATTTAAAAAACCTAGCTCAGTGAGGTCGCGGCAAAGTGGGGACATGGCATAGTTGGATCAAGTATAATAATATCTGATAGTGATTAAAATCATTATCATAAAAAACACTTCAATGCAAATCTGTAGATAGTGTTTATTTTTAAAAAATTGTAGGATTATTCTAAAAGCTACATGATCTATTTCCTTATTTATATTCTGATTACAAGTTTTATGATTTATAAGTGTCATATATGAATATATATATAATATATAAGGGGAAAGGGTCCATAAAAGTTGAATAAAAGAAGAATATAAATAGTACTTATCTTAAAAAAATACCCAGTACAGGGAGATCGCGGCACAGTTGTGACGTGACATAGATGGATCAAGTATAATGATATCTGATAGTGATTAAAATCACTATAAAAAAAAACGTTTCGAAGCAAATCTTTATATAGTGTTTAATTTTAAAAAATTGGTGGATTATTCCAAAAGCTACATGATCTACTAGTTCCTTATTAATATCCTGATTTAGATAAAGTATGTCGAATGAAAAAGGGATATAAATATTATTTCTCATAAAAAAATTGTATTGATCCATACACTTTTCAAAAAGTTATAGCATTATACAGTTAAAAATGTAAAAAATAAAATTGAGAATTTTCACACAATAATAGCATTCGGTAGCCATTTTCACCGTGAAGACAAAATAAAGCTCGCATTTTTTTTTTTTTTTCATAATAGATTGCATTACATAAGCTTTAATTTAAGATATATATAAAAGTGTCAGTATTTCCGGAACATTTTCAAAAGATAAGTTGAAAAAGCTAATTTTTTGTAAAAAAGTTGTCATTTGGAACCCCCCTGTAGGCAGGTAAAGGGTTAGATTTATAAAAAAAATATACTAAATAATAAGTAAAGACATCAGGCATCTATAAAAAAAAAGTTATGGCAGTGTTAAGTAAAAATCATTGAAAAATTTTTGAAAATTATCAATTTTTTAATTTGTTATTTTTTTCCCCATTTTCGGGGAACGAGGAAAATATTTTTATTTTTGAGGGTAATGTCTTCGATTAGATACGATTTGTGATCATTTGACATATCGTTGAAAGAAATCGGTTCGGTGAGAGCTGAGAAAAAATAGTAACACACAAAAAAAACCCATCGTAGTAAAATTAATACTTTCTCAGCTTCGTATCGAAGCAAAAATTTAATTAAATATTTCAATAAAATTTGAATAATATTTAATGAAAACAAAAATTGTATTGTATTTTTTTTTATTATGGTAGGAGCAAGAAATTTCTAAACCTGTTCAAAAAAGAAAAATGACGCAGTAACTATTAATAATGTAGCTTATTATTTAAAAATATATAAAATGACTTGTAAATAATAATAATTTATACATATTTTATTCAATTGGTGCAATAACTGTACAAACACGTATATGAAAAGAATTATATGAATTAGTACATGAATACAAATATCAAATAAATTATTTATGAACAAAAAACAAATTATTTTTTACTATAAAATCTAGTTAAAAAAAATAAATTTCATATTTAAAATTCAAAATAATTTCTATATATTTTTTTTTATACAACAATGATTGGAAAAAATACAATTGTGTTTTTATTTATCATGTACTTTATTGTGCCAAAAAATATTGTTGCTAAGATCGATAGTGTAAGTATAAACTTGTAATACTCACAATACAATAGGCTTTTTTATAATAAATATATTTTATAAAAAAAAACAATTATATTATTATTATTAAGCAAGGGTTAAATACAGAAATTCAGAAAGTTTATTGACTTCAAAATTAATTTTTTACTTTTATTATCATTCAAAATACTTTATGTAATTGTGTGATGATAGTCCAAGGAGAAGACTTGCGCCCCTTGGATCCACCACTGTATTAAGTAGTGGTTAAATGAACGTTTTCATAAAATCATAAGTATAATTTTGTAAAATATTATATTCGTTTATATAAAAAACTTAGCAAGCATAATCAATTTTTAGTATATTATCACAATTTTTTTTTTAGTTACTGTATATTTTTTAAATTTCATATCAAGTTATATACAAAACGAATCAATGTAACTTTTCTTTAAGGATTATTTAAATATTTACACTTATATAATACACAAAATATGTAAATTTATATAATTCCTACTCGAGCAACCGAAATTCAAGAGTTTTATATAATGTTAAAACAATAAATATAATAAACATATTACTATAAAAAAAAAAAATTGCTTAAAGTACTATATTTAATTATTACTATTTTTTTTTATGAATATCTTTACAAATTATAAATAAATATACAATTTATTTCACACTAAATAATTCGAAATAAATGATATGATTATTTTACAGTTAAATTAAAATCATTAAATTTGTTAAATAAAATTATCGGTATACATTCAAAGGCGGATAATTTTCATGTAAAAAAAAATAAAGATTATGTTACTTCTATTTGTCTATAATAAATTTTATCAATGTAAAATCATATAACTTTAATCAATGGATTATAGTTACATGATTTATTGGAACATAGTAGGACACCTGTACATACTTATATAATTAATATGATTTTTAATTTTAAATAATTCAAAATAATAATTTTCAGAATGAAAAAAAAAATGAGGTATTTATCTATGAATAAATCAACTATGATTACACATTTATATGTTTATAAACCTATAGTAATCAAATACTTAAAAAAAAAAAAACTTCTATCTTTAAATTAAAATTTAAAAAAATATGTAAATATTTATTTATATTGATGATTTATAGGTACAGTTTAGTTCAATCGATAAAAATGGTGATGATGCAATTACCCTTACAGAATTAAATCAATCAGTAGGAAATAATACTATAAGCGAAACAACTTTTAAAAAATACGACACAAATTGTAAATTATATTAATGAGATTTGCCTAGGTTTTACATAAATATTATTTATTGTATGGGTGTCTTTGTAGGTGACAACAAACTAGATGAAAATGAATACAACCAGCTAAAAGAAACAGAGGAATTAATTGAAATTATATTATTTGATACTGCATTAGGTAAAAATTATTTATTATTGCTTTTGCTACTACAAAATAGTTTATATACAATAACTACGTTCGGAAAAAATCAAAATGACCTGAGCCTATCATAGAATTTATGAATTTACAACAAATATATACAATTTTTGTGAAGGAAACCTATGCTATTGGCCTCCTTAAAAAAATGTAGACTAACAACATCACATTTTATATAGCAAGGAGTAAAAAAATAACTATAGTTATTTTTATATAACAGTTTGAATAAGTATTTTTTTTATGAAAAAAATATTGAGAGACTGAGATTCCCTTTTACTCCAGTGGATTTCTCTAGTAGCGTTTTTTGTTAATAGAAAAAATATGAGAAGTAATATTAAAAAAATTTGTTCAACATCATAACTTAAAAATTTCATACATAATAATAATAAATATTTGTAAAAACAAAGTTTTATAATATAAAAAAAACCCAGCACAGTGGGGATGTAGCATAGTTAGGTCAATTATAATGATATCTGACAGTGATTAAAATCACTAACATAAAAAACGTTTGATTCAATTGATTAATTGATTTCTTTTACCAATATTAACGAAAAACTAGGAAAAAAGTTCAAATTTTTACTTAAGAAATATAATTAAATATAAAATAAATATATATAATACACAGCGTTAATGTAAAAAACTTAAAAATAAAATGCATCAATTTATTAATATACAAACAGAAAACTAGTATTCTTGGAACATTTTCAAAACTTAAGTTGAAAAAATTAAATTCTTGCAAAGAAGTTGCAATTTTGAATTTTTAGAAAGAATAATGAAAAAAATGTCGCAATTTACTGATTTTAAAAATGGTAATTCTTTGGGGGAATTTTACTATTTACGTGGAATGAGGGCAAAATTTTCAATTTTTGAGGGTAATGTCTTCGATTAGATACGATTTGTGATTTTTTGACGAATCGTTGAGAAAAATCAGTCCAATGAGAGCTAAGAAAAAGTAGTGACAGACACAAAAAAAAAAAATTTAATTTAAAACAAATAAACACATCATTGTAAAACTTTGCACGAAACTAATAACAATATATTTATTTAGTATGTTAAATTAATAAATGTATAAAACTAATTTAGTGAAAAGTCATTAGTTTATCCAGACACTTCAAAACTTTGTTTTAGATCTACTGAATCCTTAATTTTATACTTAAAGACTTGTTCTACATGATAGAAGCACAAGCTTAGAAAAAATATACTTATAGTCATTAAAAACCTTTTAACATTACTCTCTAAATACTTCTCACATTTAACTTGAGAAATGTTAGCAAACTTAACTGCTAGATAACTCAGTTCAAGACTCATATAAATATTTTTAAATTCTAAATCTTTATTATTTATCTTTGCTTTTTAAAATACAAAAAAAAACTTTTTCTTACAGCACCCTACACCAATTTAGTAATATACTATACTATTATGTTAGCATTACTCTGATATAGCAACACCTAATTATAAAACTGGAATTTTTTTTCGTATCATCACTTACTGTAAATAAACATTTTTGTTTAGAACATAATTCTATTTCAAACCAATTAACTTATATTTATTAAAGATGTAATATTTGAAGAAATATTATTACATTATTAATGTATATTAGTAATAATATATTAATCATTTTTTTATTATGATAGGTTATTAGAGTTCAAAGAAAATCAAAAAATTAGTTCTCAAAAAATTGTTCTTTTTATTGAATCAAATAAAACTGTTTAATAAAAAATTATAGTGTAACTTTTTTTATCCTTTGTTCATTATTTACAAATCGTCTTTTGCTATGAATAATGACAATATAATTTCGATTTATTTTTATTTATTATATATTGTTTAATGTCAAGAAAAATTGTTTTTATAGGCAGTGGTGTGAGTATTAACTTTAATAAAAATTAATAATTTACATGAACATTAATATTCATGTAAAAGAGTGAGTGACAGTTTAAAAGTTTCCGATAAAAGTATTAAAATATAATCAAAACTATTTTGATAATACAAATCAAAGAACAATCATTTTGAAGATACAATAGTTTATAAATGAACACTTTAGTTTATAAATAAATCAGTTTAACGATCACATTTGTTGTTCATTGGAGTAGAGTGAAATAAAACAAAATTATAAGTTATTTCCATTTCCCACATAATTTAATATATTATTTAATATATATTTAATATATTAAAAAAATTATTAACAGGGCAATTTCTTATATCCCCTTAAATATTATTAAATAATTAATAATATTCTAGTTATAATAATTGTATCAATATCATAAAATAAATGCAGAAAAAATTTGTAGGTTGTTATTCCTGGGACTATATAAAAAATGTCAATATTGATAAGATAATTGGTTACTGTGATTTGACATTGTACTGCATAGTTATATTAAACTTACACATCATATTTGAGATAAATAAGATTATCAATACTATACTGTTCTGATAATAAATGTACAAACTTATACATTTATAACTGTTCAGAAATTTATATATAACTTATCATGCATTCCCTAATAAAATACACAAAATATATTGTTATGCGCAAAATCGTATCCTAATATAAATTCTGCTTAATCAAAAAAAAAAAGTTTTAAGTGAAAAAAATACATTTTAACAGTAAGTTGATTATAAAGCCAAAGTTCAACCAAAAAATATATATAACAATAAACTTGATTAAATATATCAACACATATTGTATTTAAAACATATTTTTAAAAAAATGGCAGAAAGTATCTTTAACTTAAAATACTAAACATAAAATATACAAATAACTAACATAATATAAAAAGATAATTAACTAAATTAAAAGATTAATAACTAAATGAAATCATATAGGAACACTATAACATGTATTAAGTATGAATTAAAGAGAAAAATTGACATAAAAATTCATTATCTACAAATTCAGAGTCAATATATATATATATATATATATATATGCGCGAAAATGAGACGATACCTTTATTCAAAATATGCACGTGAATTTAAAAAAAAAAATCTTGTATAACGACATTAAATAAATGGATTAAATTAATACATTTCATTAAATTACATTTTTAACTATATCTCAGAAATGTCTTTAGGCGGGTCTGGTAAAAATTTCAAAATTTAAGCTTAAGCTTCAAAGCTTAAGCCGTAAAATTCTGGCGTCAACGAGCAATTTTATCGAAAACGGTCGAAACTTTAAAACCCTTGAGGGCAGTGGCAAAAATTTTCTGACCTTCGCCAATAATTTTCCCGAAGTCTCGTAACTGAGTACTATCGTTGAAAAAAATTTTGAATCGAAGCATGCTAAGTAATTTTCAGAAAAACATTTTTTTCCTTGTTCTATTATATAAAAAAATACTTTTTAAAAACGTTAACTTTTTTATAAGATTGCATACCTATGTCTTAGTGACATTTTTTTAAAACTTATTTTAAACCCTGATAAAAATAGTAAAATTATGCTAAACATAATTTGGTTATTTTTAACGAATTTTTGCACCTTAATATCAATTTATATAATATATAGCTTATATAATTTAGCTCTTCCTGTTACATTATTTATTTTGTTTAAATAATTTATGCCATAAAGGGTAATAAAGTACAGCATTACTAAATTTACTTATTAATTTAAGTACATACATTAGCACTACAAATAACACAATTTGTGTAAATCATTTTAGAATCTTATTAAGTATATCTTTTAATCTAGCTAAAGCAAACATAAAAAAATGTAAATTATAATTATTTATTGCTTTATTTGAAGCCATTAACATTCGTTTTAACGGAAAATAATAACTATAGTCTAGTTTATAAAGCAATAAATGAAATTGCTTTTACGAATGCAGAATATGGAAGATTAATACTTAATATTTCTGGCCAGTCATTAGTACTATTAACTAGTGATGGACACTACCGAGTAATTAAGTAGTGCTATTGAACTATTCTATAATCTAAAACTATTGATTCATTCGATTATTTATATAAACTATCGATAGAAATGTACATGACGCAATTTTTACACACCAAAATTTTTTTACTCAACATTACTATTTAAGAAAATTTGAAAAAGTAAAAAAAAAAAAGGTTATCATATATTAAAAATTATTACATCGAAATTCAAAATTGACATTGGTCTTATAGGATATTTTAAACGTTTTAAATTGTTTATTTATGTTTTAAACACGTTGTGTATCAATATGTGATTGCGCCACAGAAAACGAATGTTTTTTAATAGTATTTAATTTTTGAATAATGAACATATTAATTTACTTAAGCTTAATACAAATGTACAAATATAGTAATACATAAAGTGACTTTTGTGTGGAGAGATTATTTGAAAATATGTATTCGATATATCCTTTTTTGAAACATGATTATCTTGCAGTGGTAGTAAAACACACTTTTAAAAGTTCTGTATTTTTATTTTCATCGAGCTTCTCAAATAATTTAGGCAGAGCATTTAACTTATGTTATATTCGTTTAAGTCAATTAAAATTTACAAAACAGAAAAAAATGCTAATGCATGTATCTGTAATACATGTTTTTTATAAACGAACAATTTCTAAATAGAACCATTCAAATAAAGTCTAAGAAGTTGTTATCCATGGAAAAAAAAGAAACATTTTTAAATACTTTAAAAATTGTAGTTTTCGGTGTATATGGCTTATAAGAAACTATTGATTCAATTGATAAATTGATTTCTATTACGAATATTAACGAAAAGCTAGAAAAAAATTTAAATTTTTACTTAAGAAATATAATTAAACATAAAATAAATATAATATAATGCACAGTGTTAATGTAAAAAAATTTAAAAGTAAAATATATCAATTTATTAATATACAAACAGAAAACTTTTTACTATTTTTACAGGAATCATTGGATATAAAAACGGTAGCACAGTGGGGTAACGGCATAGTATGGACATGGTATAGTTGGGACAAATATAGATGATAATTGACATTGATTAAAATCACTATCATAAAAANCGGCATAGTATGGACATGGTATAGTTGGGACAAATATAGATGATAATTGACATTGATTAAAATCACTATCATAAAAAACGCTTCGAAACAAATCTCTAGATAATAATTAATTGTTAGAAATTGATGGATTATTAAGAAGCTAAATTCTAACTCAAAAAGAATTACGGAAAAATTTCAAAAAAATCATTGTAACGGGCAATGATATATCCTGATTAATAGTTCATTGCTTTAAAAGTATAATACATGAGTGAATATTAATTATAGTACATAAATTTAGTATAAAATTTATTTTCAATAAGTAGTGAGAGATTGAATTAGTATTGACGCGGACATTGTACATTACATGAATTTGAAGCCAAAAACGACAATTTAAGCTAGCTCAAAATTTCAAAGTTGTTTTTCTTAACATAAAGGAGGTGAAATATTAAAAATTTGATTAAATTAAATTCATGTGACTTTTATAAAAATCGATGGCCTCATCACTAAGACAAACCCTTATTTAAAAATAAATAAAAATAATAATTTTAACACAAAAATATCATGTTTATGTTATACTAAGAAATTGGTGATATAAAAGTGAAGTTATTAATTTTAATTAAAATTAAAACAAAATTAAAATTAGAACAAATATCAGGAATAAAAAATATATTTTTAAAAATTAAGGCAAAGAAATCATTTTTTACAATTTTTTAATTAATTAACTGGTCGGTATCCTTAATCTGTCTTAATGAAAATACTTTGGCAAGCTCACTTTCATCCTCTGGGGGTTTTGTTATTTCTAAACGTTTAACCTTTAAATAAAAAAATGTAAAATAAGAAATTTATAGAGTAAATAAAAATTTATGAAAATAAATACTTTTTTCAATACTACTCCGTTTTTTAGTTCTTTTATTAAATTGTCATTCTGCATATTTCCTGGCTACATGAAATACAAAAATTAGCTAATTAATTGAGAAATGTGATACAATTTATATTAAGACATCATTGAGATTAATAGAATTATTTCATCAAACTTGGTTACTAATGAGATAATGTATTTTATTTACATGCCCTCTTCGTGTTTTAAAACTAAGACTAAGAGTGTATTTTAAAAACTGATGCTTCGTATTGGATTAAAAATTTTGAGCAATGATTTGTTTAGAGTACTCAATAAATAATTAGTAGATAAAACCATTTACCTTTAATATTTTTTTACTTTTGATCTCAGCACCTTTTTGTAATCTTAGATCATCACCATCCCCTTTATGCATAAAATTTAATGAAGGAGGCATTGGCGGAGGCCGTGGTATGAATGGAAAAGGTGGTGGCGGTGGCGGTGATGGAATAATTACTGTAACAATTTTTTTCTTAAATAATATCTAGATTAGATTAAACTAAATAGATTACTTATAACTTATTACTTATTTTGTATAGACTAATAAAAATTGATTATGTATAAATAAGACATCATAAATGATAAATAAGCTTGATGTTTTAATAAAATAAAATTACCTGTAATTATTAGAAATCAATTAAAATTTTATCTTTAATTTAGTTACAATATATTATTAATTATTAATTATTTATTACAATATTATATATTCTAATGAATAAACTATGGTTTTTATTATACTTCCACAAAAATGTTATCTAAAAAACAATTTTATGTAAGAAAAGGACAAATTATGTTTCAATTAAAAGCTACTGACATTTTCGAATTTTTGCGGACTTTAATTATATAGTTAACTATATAATAATTATTAATTATTAATAATTAAAATTATAGCTAATTATTAGTATTTAATGAT